GTGTGTTTGCGGGGGGGGGGGGGGGGTGATGTAATTGACATCTTCATGATCAATGTTCTCCGCGACTCTGGGGATTCGAAGCTGAAAATTTTCTGGAGGGATTCTGTATTGAGAGAGGAAGAAACTTACCCAATTTCGTTCCTTTGGATGATCTCAGAGAGGAATACGAGGAGGTCGACGGGAAGGAATCGAAGAAAGGGAATAGGCGCCGCCAAAGCCCATTCATGACATTTTCCGGTCGTATCGGATCTTAAATTTCACTTTCATTGATGATTCTATGCGTAGGCCATTATTCGAATAGATCGACAATGCGAAGGGGACGCTTCAAAGGTGCAGACCGGTTGGAAACTATGACAAGAGATGGATTGTGGTTCCCCAAAGGCTACAAGCTCGATCGACTCATGCCGGCAATATGAATCGATTTCCATTCATTCCTGGGGGATCTCCTCAGACCTTGATGCGATCAAGGTTTCCAGGCGGACGCGCACACAAATCATGCGAGGGCCACGGCCACGCCCGGAATCAGGTTCGATCCTCTCGCGGCTGGGAGGATCCCCGCCAGTGCCATCCCTATATAAATTCCCCGCTCGTCCTTGCCAGTCACTGGCAGTTCCATCTTCCGCCTGAAGCCTCATCTCCACTTTTACCATGGTTTCCTTCTCCGTGAGTTCCCAACTCCCTTCTCGACTTTTTTAGTTTATAAATACATTCGACAGGAAGAGTTTATATCTAGCTGCACATGAACCCATCTCTGGAAAAATTTGCTCGTCTCTCTCCAACTTCAATGTAGGATATGTACGAATCGTAAAGACATTCAGCTAAGCCTTGCTCGTAAGAGTTTCATTCGTGACTTGTTTCCGTCTTTGATATATTAATGTTCAAAATCTCGCATGATATAGCACCTTTTCTGGTTTATTTCATGCTCTAACGTCTGTCGCACTTAAAAGGTTAAAATATGAACCATGTTAAAAGCAAACTCTTATGAAAAGGTCCTATAGGAATCCTATACATTTCTATATATTCCTATAGGAATCCAATAGGACTGTTTCGTAAGAGAATAACAGTCAGATTTCCGCATTCCTTTCCCATCGTATGAAAAGTGAAGAAGTATGTGGCATTGACATTCAGTTGGCGTTGGGAGCGTTGTGTCTATTTGGAGTGACGTGGGGAAGGCCATATCAGGCACCTCCGCGTGATGAGGACTCCGTGGCTGCCCAAGTTGACTGGTCCAACTATGCCAAGGCTGAAGCGAGTCCTGCGAAGGTCGACGTTTCCACTGTTTACAAATCGTGAGTCGATCGTCGACCGCTCTGGCTCGCACGTAGTTCTGCTTACGGGTTTAACGGTTTTGACGGTTCTAAGGTGATGAGAGAGGCGGTGGTGATGGTGGGGGGTGGGGGGGGGGGGGGGGGGGGGGGGGGGGAGGGGAGGGGAGGTGTGAGAAATATTTTTCCGACTGTCAGCAAAGGACAAAAAGGGCAATGAAGCTGCAAAGGAACTGGTGTAATCAAAGAAAACTCTCCGGAATTGGCAGAAAAACATCTGAAGATCAGTCTAAGAAGTCTTCTGACTTGAGCTAACTCTCTAAAAATTGCTTGCTTGGACCGTGCAATGTGAGTGAACTTCTATTTAAATTCACTCACATTGCATGAACCCAGTTTACACTTTTGTGAAGAGAGCGTCTTCCAAGAATGATAGCCAGGATAAGTATTGCTTGCGAAAATGAAGTTCCAGATTGGCTTGCTGCCGCATGTGAACGTACACCTTCTCTTATTCCAGATGTAAATAACGAGTCTTTAGCTTCAGAGCAAGGATTACGAATGACCTGCTGAGGGCATTTCACGTTTTGAGCATTGTCTTGAAACCCACAGTTGTGGCATATAAGCTAAGCCTAAAGAAAATGAAGCGTTTGAATTAATTTGATAGAAATTATGGTTTTGCTGAGTGACAGAGGGGAAGCATTTTCGGAGTAATTCAGAGGTTCTGAATTTTTTGAATATTTGTTAGATTTAACAAATTGATGCGGTCGACATCTCGCTACCCGAGAAATATGCCGCGGTGAAGGAATGGTTGGTGACGGTTGTCATAAAAAAATATGCCTTAGGTGCTTTGATTTCCCTGCCGAGTTCAAGCTATCAAGGTAGTTTAGTGGTATCAAGAGGCGATAGTACTCATTTGCATACCACGAGTCGAGGTCGAGCGTTCTTTCATTTTAGGGTTGACCTATTCCTCTTTAAGTAAAAAGTTTGTGCATTTTTGTGATTTTTAAAATTTCTTAAATTTATTTTTAGCATATCCTAGTAGCTTACTGCTCAGTCCCTCAATTCAACATCCGCCCCTTCTTCCTTGTCCATAAAATAATCTGATTTCTACTTTAAAATAGTCGCGGAAGGGACAGGTCACTACGTCGTCGTCTAACGCATTCCACGCGTTCACCATTCCACAAGTAAAAAGGGCCTGTCTCAACCTGAGCCGCACCTGCGATTTACGCAAACTTGAGTTGATCACCTCTTATTCTCTCGCTGCCGTCGAACTGGAAGAACGGACCATGCTCGACATCGTATATTGCTTTAATTGCCTTAAAGTTTGGATGAGATCGTCGCTCCTTAACCTTCTCTCGAGCGAGTACAGTCCCAGTACTTCTAAACGCTTCTCGTGTGGAAGTCCCCTAAACTCCTTTATCGTTCTTATGGCTCTCCTCTGTACCCCCTCGAAAGCCAGCAACTCACCCTTATTTGTAGGGCTCCAAAACTGAATGCAATATTCCTACTGGGGTCTTACCAGTCATACAACAGTAAAATGACGCGCTCGTTCCCACTTGCAACCGAACGACGAATGAATCTTAGCATCCTGTAACATTTGGACTCCGTCGCTTGCGCGTGCGAGGAGAACTTGAGGTCTTCGTCGATAGAAACTCCATGATCTTTCCGTTTGGCTCCCTTAGTTTATCCTCGCCAAACGCATCGAGAGACCTGCCGTTATTTCGACTGACGTGGAGAAGTTTATATACACTTATATTAAACCTCATGAGAGCCATTTCTTGCTCCCCTCATCCAAAAGCCTTACATCTCGCTCGGCTCTAGCCCAATCCGACTCCCCCTTGCAGAAAAACCAATTTTGGTGTCTTCGGCAAATTTACTTATCACACCCTCTACGCCTAGATCCATATCGTTCATGTAGACCAGAAACAGAAGTGGTCCCAGGATCGAGCCCTGAGGGACACTGCTCGCGATCCCGACCTCTTTCGATGCTTCTCCATTTACCAGTTACTAAGAAAATAAAGAGTTAATGAGAAAAATTGCATGGATTGCGTGCCATCTCTTTTCATACGTAATCATTTTTTATTCCGACATCAGTCGGGGAATCTTTATCGATGGAAGTCCAAAAACAAAGACGATATGCTTTCAGCGGAAGCAGCGAAGGATACACCGATAGCTACAGGTTGCAGCCAATCGCCGCCCACATGACGCGTCCCCAATTCCATGCCCTGACGCATAAGAAGGTCGAGGCGGATGACCAGGCCGGTCCTGCCGTGTATAACTTCGAGTGGCAGACGGTGGATGCTGACAAGGCGCTCTTCACCAATCAGCAGGAGTCCCGGAACGAGGACAACCTCCGAGGCCAATACTCAGTGCTGGGAGCGGATGGCGTCCTCCGCACCGTCAAATACACCGTCGAAGGAGATGAGGGATTCAAGGTATTGTGCGTCTTCGATCTTCAACTCTCGTCGTCCCTGACGAAGAATTATTTTGTTTTCAGGATTATTAACAGCAAAGGTTTATCTGTAACCGTCCGATTATACAGATCGTGTGGATAAAGAGCAACTCTAGGTTTTTTTTCATGCCGGAACGTTTTTTGATGGGATCATGAGCAGAACGAGATGCTAGTATGCCACAGGATGTATGAATTGCATCTTTTCGATACAGGCAGAAATCACGAATGAGGAGGGTGTGGGTCCCATCCAGAAGGCACGAACGCATCAAGCATCCACAAAAACCGTTACCAGCCACTCCGGTATCGAGCACAAGTCGCCCTTTGCCCAAGTCGACTGGTCCGCCTATACTAAGGCTGAGACGAGTCCTGCGAAGGTCGACGTTTCCACCGAGCACAAATCGTGAGTCGATCGTCGACCGCTCTGACTCACACATAATTCTGAAACAGTACGGACCATTTCCAAGTTCGACGCCACAGGGAGAAGTTAGTGCATGTGCGACACAATGCCATCGACTAATTCCTGAAAATGCCTCGCCGTCACATTAGCACCAGCGAGCAACACTTTCAGAGCCTCAGGGTAAGGTGTGAGTTGCAGCAGGAGCATTTTTCTGTTGTGCCAGCAATGTGAAACAAATGTCCCTGCCCTACAGCAAAATGTACAGCCTGGCAGTGCTCGCTGCGGCAAACGACTGTGCGATGGCCCGAACCGCCACGCCTGACCTAACGAAACAAAGTACATATTTAAAAAAATACTTCAGCAAAGAATGTATTCAAATGGAGAACTTGCAGTTGATCAGTGAAAACGTGACAGTAGCACTCTTTGAGAAAGGTAACTCAATGCCTAAATATGAAGCTTATGGAAATAATAGGATGAGCCACAGCCTATGGCTCAGATTAGTATAGCCCGATGGATCTGGCGCTAAAAGCGTTGGATGGCCAATAATAGCATAGCCTCATGGACCTGGCTCTTTGCGGGGTAGATTGCCTAGCCAATGGCCTAAAATGATTAATCTCGTAGGCCTCGCGCGTTGGGGTGACACTCAACCGCCACAACTGTCGGGCTCTTCGAATTAAAGTATAAGATGGCCTGGAAAGGCATAGCCTTGTAGGCCTGGCGCTTTCGGCCGTGGATGGCCTGTCCTATAACCCAGAATGGCATACCATCGTAGGCCCGCGCGTTGGGGGTGACAGCCACGACGACCACCACCACAACTTTTGATCTCTTTGAATTAAAGTATTAGAATGCTGGATTTAAGCCTCTCTGGCAAACAACTTGAGACAGCCCAGAAACTGGGGTGCTTAGCATAGTCCTCCTCAAGAGTCATCGTATGATCAATGAAGTAGCGTGGAAACCATTTTGCAAAATCCTTTCTTCATACCCCCTTCCCCCCATATTGAGACTCACCAAAGTTAGGCTTATATTTAACACGGACAGTCTTTAGGTCAGGCCATTGTTCACTCAAAAGAACACAACCCAGACTTACGGGGGCATAAGGGTGAATTTCGGACTCTTCGAGAAATCTCTGTGAAGACGAGCGACGTGAGGTCGATTTTTGGAGTTCCTCGGACCACCTCGACCAGGTCTGTGGGTGGTAATGCCTAAGGGTTGAAATGCGTGCGTTTTTTAGATTTGAACGCCAATTTGGGCGAACCATCGCGAATTTCACGTCCTCGTCTAGAGGAGAATCTTGGAAAGAGAAAGAGATCGATTTCGAAATCCGTCACGATCATTGAAAGTTCGAAATTTCCATCCAAGTGGGTCAATGTTTTGAATATGTTTTAAATGTGTTTTAAATGTAATTTAAGAGGGGTAACTCCGGCCATGTCAGCGCTCATAGCAACATCGGGCTGGTAAGGCAAAAGGTTTGGGATTAAACTTCGACCTGGCAAAAAACTTCGAAGACAGTCGATTCATTTTCCCCACCGGCTGCCAGGAACGTAGCACAAGCAAGCGAATCGCAATCGACGTGGATTTCGTGCATCTCTCACGTATCGTTTCCGACATCGATGACGGGTGGGGGGGTGGAGGGCACGGGTTAAACATGGACGAGCACCCAAATCACGCAACCGCCGTAACCACGCCCGGGAGCAGGTTCGATTTCCCCATCGTTCGGGAGGGTCCTCCGGTGCCATCACTATATAAATGCCCCGACATCCTCCTGGGTCACTCGCAGTTCCAACCTCAGCTGAGTTCTCAGTACCTGAAGACTTCCCCGACTTTCATCATGGTTTCCTTCTCCGTGAGTTCCCTACTCTCTCGCTCTATTTTTTTAATCCAAGATATATTCGTTCTAGAGTGACCCTGTTGATCTCACTGCACCTAGGTCATTTTCAATAATGAATGTCTATTTTATAAATACTTAGTCTAATCTAATCTAATAAATACAGCGAATAATAGGTAGAGTTCAGCTGCGGCGTTCAGCCTATAATATTCAATACCAGTGAACTTTTTAACCTTTTGCGCTGGTGTCGCATCTTCTCCGACAAGCAATAATCCTACGGATGACTTTACGTCATTGATTAAATGCTTAAATTCTCCGATCAGATATACTTGGAGAGTTGAAAATATAGAACGGTTTGAACGACCGGAAAATATAATTCAGCTGGTGGGGGCAGACCATGCCATTCTAGGTGCAAAGGCTTATTCTTCGACTTGCTCAAGTTATTCTTATTCGAAAATTTATGTAGCAACGTAGTGCCATATTTTTCCCGGTCAATTTCAAATATCAGCAATCTAATATTCACACGTTAATTTTTCAATTAGTTTCTTTCCATGCATTTACAAGGTTCAAGGTTATTTAAATATACATTGGGCTAAGGCACCGAGATAAAATGCCCAACCCCCGAGATGACGATGCGATCAATTTGCATTCGTCGTCATCCCGGCAATCGAGTGCAAAAGAAGATATGTCTCCGCTTGTGCGACGCAGGTGGTTTTGGGGGTGATGTGCCTCGTGGGTGGGACGTGGGGAAGCTACGCTTACTCGGGTGGGCAGAGATCCGCGGCCACCCGAAGCAGCCACTCCGCTGCTGTGCAGGCGGAAGCAGAGACGGAACCTGCCAACGTCAAAATCTCCACCGTTCAAGGATCGTAAGTGGAAAATCCTCTCGTCGAACGCTTTCAAGCGCTTTTAGTCGTGCTTGCTGAGAATATGTATTTTATTGTTGCTCAGAGGGAGCTTCTAGTATGCGCCAGTTCAGTTCGAATTGAACCCAATTGAATGCATCTCATTTTGGAAGGGTGAACTTAGAGAACGCGTTCACATCATTCCTTTGATCACAATAGCAGCTGATCATGGCAGAACGATCTGATGCGTTCCATCCTGTAGCATTCGCGGATTCTCCCGGATTAAATCGGTCGTTGGATGCCGATACGTCTGTATGGAATAATTTCGTTGCAGACGACAACTTTTCGGCGGCAGCACCGGAGTCCGCAGCGGCAGCGCTGGCTTCACCCAGACCCGAATGGAGGAGATCCGCCCCGTCGTCGTCGCCCAGACCCGCAGGGTGGTGGAGCAGGTGCAACCCGCCTTCGTGGCCGTCATGGAGGAGGAGGAGCAGGCCGGTCCCGCCGTGTACGACTTCGCCTGGCAAGTGAGCGACGCGGACGAGGCGCTGTACTCCAATCACCAGGAGTCCAGGAACGAGGGCAACCTCCAAGGCCAATACGCCGTGCTCGGTGCCGATGGCATCCTCCGCACCGTTCGATACACCGTCGTCGGGGATGAGGGATTCAAGGTAACGTGTTTTTTCCACCGTTCAGAGCCGAAGCAAAAGTCCAGGGCTTTTGGCGCGCATTTTGTGCACCCTCACCGTATTCCCAGAAACTTTACATATAGTGACCACCTCAAAGATGTTTAAAGTTAGAACTTTTTCCATGAGATCGAAAGCAGAAAGGACATGACACCATGCCCCAGAATGTATGCATCGCCCGTTTCGCACCCAGGCCGAGATCACCAACGAGGAGGGTGTGGGCCCCGTCCAGGTTGCACGAACCCGCTCCGCAAGCACGAGGAGCTCCGCTAGTCACTCCAGCCACGACGCGTCCTTCAACGTCGCCTCGCAAGTCCGCACCGTCGCCGCTCCGTCCGTCTCCTTCGAAGCGTCTCGTGCTTCTTCTCGCTCCGAGTCCTACGGAGGGTCCCACGCTTCGACTCGGTCCGCCGCGTCCGGCAGTGGCGCCGTCGGTTCTGGCTCTTACATCCGCACCGACAATTACATGACTCATCTTTAAATGGGGAAAAATATCGACCTGATTTGTAACTAATATAAATCCGCATTTTCCTCGGTGTAGGGTCTTTTCATGGTGTCCTCTGTGTTCTTCTCTGTGCTCCTCTCTGTGCCTGCTATGTAATCTTCGGGAAATAAATACATGAAGTTCCTCTTCGGACTCGGATTGCCTCATGAAAGTTTTCGTCGCAAGGACACACGTATCCCAATCGTAAATCGCCTGTCATACCGCTGGTCTTATTCATCGTCCATACGTGGACTTACGATTTATTGCCTCTGGAAAAGAAACCAAGAGTTAGTATCGATTCTGGTTATTCTTGGGAAATAATGGATTGGAAGTAGGGTGAACACCCCAGTTTTTGGCCCCTAAAGCCCTAAATTTTGGCAACCTAAGCTCCAGTTTTTGGCAACACTGATAGTTGATAGAATGCTTGAAAACGGTCAGATTAACTAATTACTAGCGGCCTCCGGCCTCTACGCTGGCCGTCTAAATAGGTTAAAATTTGAATAATCTATTGTGAGCATAACGTCTCCTTGACAATCCTTTTCATCGCATTACTCATTCGGAACTGAACCGCTTCATTACATTAATACACATTTAGCTTAAAGTACACAGGGAGATTCTGTTCCTAAACACCATCATCATGACATTCGAGCTCATTGTCACAGTCGCCATCGTGAACGCCTCGGTTTAGCACGTTTTCATGAGACTCAAGACGCCTTTGCTGATTTCGTCTTCCTAGCACTCTTGCATCACCGATTAGCTGGGCTATTAGCGTTAGCGTATGGTACAGACACCAATGATTCTGAAACAGTACGGACCATTTCCAAGTTCGACGCCACAGGGAGAAGTTAGTGAATGTGTGACACAATGCCATCGACTAATTCCTGAAAATGCTTCGCCGTCACATTAGCACCAGCGAGCAACACTTTCAGAGCCTCAGGGTAAGGTGTGAGTTGCAGCAGGAGCATTTTTCTGTTGTGCCAGCAATGTGAAACAAATGTCCCTGCCCTACAGCAAAATGTACAGCCTGGCAGTG